CGCCGATGAGGCAAGGTCCAACGCACCATCAAGGTAGCCGCAGCCTCCCCGGATACAAACAAGCATACATAAGTGATTTCTTTCATTTATTTTGATGCTCAATTTCGCTTGATTTCTCACCATCTTCCGCTCTTTCTCGCAGGAGGTCGCACACCCGGGCGAGGAGGTCTCGGAGTTCTCTGTGGGCTATGTCCCACATGGGGTGGCGCCGCCCTCTGCCTCCTTCGACCCGGCCGCCGCCCGCCCTGTGTGTACTCCGACCTGAATGTGTACACTAAAGTCCAAGAGTACACGCCTCGGTAAGGGAGATCTATGGGGAAGATTACATCAGTGACCGAGCCCATTGATGCAGAGATGATCATGAGGCTCAGAGGAGACAAGAAGCACGGGCGGTCAGGATTGTAGACGGCGCCATCGACTCCACCACTGTTCCTCCTCGACGCTTATCTCGAGCACGGAGCATGAGCTCCAGCCAGCCCATACAAGACACGGCCTTCTCCAAAGACTACAAAGACAGTCCATGCACCACCTGTAATTTCTGTTTTACTCGTCAGACGCTGATATTTACACACCTAAATTAGATTTGCATTACTGATACATTGGAGTGAAATATTGCAAGCTGAGCTGCAAGAAACAAAAAGGCAAAGTCAAGAGTAGAACACGGAACTGACCGCACAGCTGTAGGCCCAAGCAGTCGCGCTCGAGGGTCAAGCAGAAGGGCGATGGCGAGATGATGGTGATCATGCAAAGTCTTGGGCAAGCATCGGTGTACCTGTGCAGCTTTTTAGCTCCTCCACCTCCTACTCCCTGCAGCTACTCTTGTAAGTATGAAAGTTCACTTTTCGCTTGTGCTTTGTATGTATGTCGGCCTTCGTGTTGCCAGGATGTCGGCTGTCAGTGTTGTTGTGGATGTCATGTCATGCTGTTGTTTCTTGCAGGTGTTTTGGAAACCTCCCCAGACATGGAGGAGGTGCTGCCAAATTTTCAATTGAGTCTAATCTTTTTGTATTCCTATATTATTAGATGCAATCTCTAAGTTCCAAAACTGTTTTCCCGGATTACTCACATATGCAATCTCTGCTCCTTTGTGCAGTCTCCGTCCGCGGGTTCCAATTATCCCAGTAGTGCATCACCGGGTGATCCCGCCTTTTCTTCACCACCGTCTCATAGGCTACCTTGATGAGGACTAGTGCTAGGTGATGTGGTTGGACTTTATTGTAGTATTTGTGGTTTATGGTTCTGCCTTGTGCTTGGATTTCATGAACTTTTCGTAATAAACATGTGAATGATAATGAACATGTGACTTGTCGTTGTAATATATTGTGATTTGTGGTTCACAATTATGGTTGTCATATATTGTGAGAAAATGGGTTCTGTGTGATATATATATGTGATGGTTGACATATATATATGTATATATATGAAATGCTTGTGTCAATGGAATGCAAAAAACAAACAAAATTAAATTTCTGCCTCTTTGCCGAGGGCAATGACCAAGGCCCTCAGCAAAGAAGGGTCCTTTGCCGAGGGCCGTCCCATTGCCCTCGGCAAAGATTCATTGGGAAAATTCTACAACATTTCTTTGCCGAGGGCCATGGTTGGAGGCCCTCGGCAAATATTTTTCAAAAAAAAAGAATAATTCTTTGCCGAGGGCCCTTGGAGACGGCCCTCGGCAAAGACTCCATCCCAGGCGCCGGCTCCGTGACGGCTGCTTTTCTTTGCCAAGTGCCGGTCCAGCCCGAGCCAGGATAAACCGTTGCATCTTCTCTACGTGATTCTTGTGTTCTTGAGTCCACCCGAGCCACCGAAGACCCCGTACTCTGACACTAACTTGAACAACATGATTGCCGTGGTTTTGACCCCGTGATAGACACCTTCTAGGCCCTGATGAACGACATTGTTCGCCCGTTCCTACGCAAGTTCGTGCTTGTGTTTTTCGATGACATTCTAATCTACAGCTCGTCCTAGGCTGAACACCTTCAGCATGTCCACCTCGTACTCAACGCGCTCCGGGCACACCGGCTCCACCTCAAGCGGTCGAAGTGCTCCTTAGGGGCGCCTTCGGTCGCTAACGTCGGGCATGTCATCTCTATAGATGGTGTCACCATGAATAGCGACAAGGTCGACGCCGTCGCATCATGGCCACCTCCACGCTCAGCTCGCGGCCGACGCGGCTTCCTCGGCCTCGTGGGCTACTACCGCAAGTTCATCCATGACTTTGGGTCGATCGTGGCGCCATTCACCAAGCTCTTGCGCATGGATGCCTTCTCCTGGATGGAGGTGGTTGTGGTGGCTTTCGAGGTGCTCAAACTTGACTTGACGACAGGGCCAGTTCTCTAGATGCCCAACTTCGACAAGCTCTTCGTCGTTGATTGTGACACCTCTGGCGTCGGATTTGGGGTTGTCCTCCACCAAGTGGCGGGCCCCCTTGCCTTATTCAGCCACCCCTTTGCTGCCCGGCACCTCAAGCTGGCGGCATATGAGCGGGAATTGATTGGTCTTGTGCAGACTATTCGTCATTGGCGCCTATACCTGAGGGGGCGCCGCTTCCTCGTCCGCACCGACCACTTCGCCCTGAAGTTCTTGCTGGACCAGCGCCTTTCTACCATGTTGCAACACCAGTGGCTCAGCAAGCTCTTCGGCTTCGACTTCACCGTGGAATACCGTCTGGGGCGATTGAACATGGTGGCTAACGCTATGTCCCGCCGCGACGCCGACACTGCCGTGCCAGACGCCGAGGCGTTCGCCATCTTGAGCCCTTCGTTCACCTTCCTCGACGATGTCCGCGCAGCTATGGCGACCACCGATGACGCACAGCGTCTCCTGCGCTAGCTGCAGGAGGGCGCGCTGGATCAGCACTAGTGCATGGCTGAGAGCCTTCTACATGGGTCACGGGTCTACATTCCAGTGTATGGCGACTTGCGCCATCAGGCCCTCACCTTGGCTCACACCGTCGACCATGAAGGTGTATAGAAGACGCTGAAGTGGCTTCGGGGCGATTTCTTCATCTCGGATGACCGTACCCTTGTCCAGGATTTTGTGCGCAACCTGCAGCACGTGTCAATGGAACAAGATGTAAGACCTACAGCCAGCAGATTTGCCACAGCCCCACGAGGTTCCGTCGCAGGTCTAGGCCGACATTTCAATGTACTTCATCAAAGGCTTGCCTAAGGTTAATGGCAAGTATGCGCACTTCATCGCCCTTGGCCACCCCTACAGTGTTGCTTCAGTCGTTCGGGCATTCTTCGAGGGCATTGTGCGCCTGCATTGGTTCCCCTCCTCCATCGTCAGCGACCGCGATCCAGTGTTCACAGGTCATGTGTGGCGTGATCTCTTCAAGATGGCCGGTGTGACAATGCGCATGAGCACAGCTTTCCACCTGTAGACGGATGGCCAATCTGAGTTGGTCAACAAGGTGATCGCCATGTATCTGCGCTGCGTCATTGGTGATCGGCCTCGTGCTTGGGTGGATTGGTTGCCCTGGGCATTGTATTGCTACAACACATCCATCCACTCCGCCCTATGCACTACTCCATTTGAGGTGGTCTATGGCCGTCCGCCCCCACCTCTGCTGCCCTACACGGCTGGGACGACCAAGACAGACAAGGTGGATACTTTGCTACGCGATCGAGATGGGTTCCTTGCTGAGATCCACAAATGCCTGCTTCAAGCGCAGCAGCTGTCTAAGAAGTACTATGACACCTCTCACCGTGACTTGGAGTATGCTGTGGGGGACTGGGTGTGGCTGCGCCTGCTCCACCGTATTATGCAGTCCCTCGAGCCCCGAGCTAACGGCAAGCTTGGTCCTTGCTATGCCGGCCTGTTCCAGATGTTGGAGTGCATTGGCACCGTCACTTATCGCCTTCAGCTTCCAGAGGGCACCCGTCTGCATGATGTCTTCCTCGTGGGTTTGCTGAAACCGCACAAGGGAGATCCTCCGACTGCTCCTGCTCCTCTGCCGTGTACGCTCGATGGTCGCCTTCTTCAAGGTCCTGAGCGTGCCATCCGTGCCCAGCTCTGGCGGGGCGTTTGGCATGTTCTTATTCAGTGGCGCGGCATGACAGAGAATGATGCTACCTGGGAGCCGCTCCAAGCATTCCAAGACCTCTACCCAGATTTCCAGCTCGAGGATGAGCTGTTTCTCCAGGCGGGGAGAGATGTTATGACCGGCGTCCAATACACACGCCGACGTACCGGTGGCTAGAGACCGGCACAAAGGGGGGCGCCTGGCCAGAGGCTGGCACACAGAAGGCGCCTGGATTATATGGGCTATTAGCCCAGTTATCTTTATTTGCTATTTTCCTCAATTAGGATATTTATTTCTCAAAATAGGATTTATAGATAGGCTATATATGTCTGTTAACACTTATTGGAGTAGGCAAGCAAGGCAAACATTATTTGCCTGGCCTCAAGGGCCAAGGGCTACGTACGTGACTCCTTGCTGCCTTCTCTCACGCACTGCCCTAGGGCAGCAGCAGCAAGCAACCGCCGCCTCTTCCTCTCGCTGCCACGGCACCACGCCGTCGCCGAGAGATCAAACCTCGCTCTCCCCTCTTTCATCCGTACAACCTCCGCAACAACTCCGGTAGGACCTCGGGTCCTATCAGCAAACCCATCCAGCTTCATAAAAAAAATGTTTGGGTACCCAAACCATCAGTTGTTGGTTCTCTGGCATAACTCTCGCTCTTATATTCTCCAAAATCCAAAATTAACGAAAACAAATAAACCGGACTGAAAGTTCGGTTAGAACTGAATGTCTCCCCCAAAATAGTTATTACTCCCTCGGCTCCAAGTTGTAAACTTTTCAAAATATTTAGACATAATGTATATCTAAGTATCTAGCAAAAGCTACATACCTAGAAAAGGCTGAACAACTTATAATTTGGAATGAGAAGGAAGTACATTTTATAGGTCAACCCTATATAATCTTATGTTTGCAACACAAACAATAGTTGAACTTTATTATGTACATCAAGGTAGTACAAGCAAGTGGAAATCGTTCAGGGATGGAACGTGCTGGACAACTTGAGCTTCCTAGCCAAATATCTGTGATCTTGCAAAGATGATAGCATGATTGGACAATCACGGGTGCAGCCATTAGTTTTCAATAATAACGGTGGTGCTGATTGCTTTTCTTTCTGAATCCAGTAGTCGATGACTGAGCCCTGCAATTGGGCAGGCGCATGCGCAATCCATGAGACAATGAACTCATTGTTACCACTTGTCCATCCCTGAACCGGAACCTTCTTGTCCCTCCGTTGCTTACGACATTTTCCAACTTTGTCTATCCTAGTGGTTGCTCTGCATGAGGTCTTCTCGACCCGAAAGTATGCGCTGCCATGCTTGGATTTCCACAGCATCTGATACAAGGTAGCTGCCACATTCCTGCGAAGGCAATCTACTGCTTTTGGCCTCGTGATCTCACCCAGCTGTTCGAAGGAAATGTTTGGATACATGCCATGTTGTTTGGCTTCATCGTTGATTATCTCTAATGCTGACCCACCGACAGCAGGTGGCAAATCTTCAGAAGAGGCATGAGGCCAGAAGTGTGCTCCAAGTTTCAGATCGATATGGAAAGTCTCTCGTGTGGCTTTTTTGGCTTTCACCATCGACAATTGTCCTCTGCCTGTTGTTGCCAGCTGACAGTGCGGCCTGTCCTAGCAGAAACACTTGGATAATAGGTTCCAAGTATATATCAATTGGTAATGATTCTGAAGAGGGGCTCTGAACGTGAGGATGGTCTTGTTGTCGACAACAAAATAGGTTTGGTCGAAACCATTTGGAACACATGGTATGGAGATTGTTCCGTTGTTCATCATAGCCATAAACTGTATAACCATCGAACACCCAGCACAAGTCTTGCATTGGTACCTGGGTTAGCTTTGTCTTCACAATCTCGGCCGTTGAGTTCAAGTACGGTATGAAACGCTGCAAGCATCTGATTGCAACCCCAACTATGTCAATACTCTCAGAGAGCCGTAAGCTGAGGGCAAGAATGAAATTATTCTACGGGGTATTGCCATCTTCAAGTGTGAATATTAGGCTACCCTCCATCCCATTGTTGGGTGGACTAAAGGGCTGCCGAATAAGTGAGAGATGTTGGCCCCCACGAACAAAGCAATACTTTGCTCCTTTGCCAGCGAGAAGATGGCGTATAAGAGGCACGGAGAACATGTATCTGCATGGTGTGCCACCAAGCTCGATGTACCTCAAGAACTCGCTCGCACCATCAGCAAACCGCTCAAATCGCCAGACGGCGGTGGATCCTCTTAGCTCTTCATCGTTACCACTGCTAAACATTGACGAAACAAATGACATGGCAGTATGAACGACCCTTTTAGGAAAGGAGGAGCTCTGTAGCCCTTGTTTCACTTCTTCCTCTTCTTGCAATCGCTGCCTGCACCGACGCAAAGTGCGGTCGCACTCCTGTGTGGCACCCTTAAGCTTGCTCTGCCAGCGCAGCAGTGGCGCGCTGCTGATGTTCCACTTGTGGGATGTCTCAAGGGCGGCTTCTAGCTTGATGTGCGCCATCTCCATCCTCTCTATGTGCTCCTTTGCATCTGACTTCTCCGCGTAACCCTCCTTGATTCTTGATAAGACTTCGTTCACAGCCTCCTGGGCCAGTGCAGAACTGACCATCTCTGCTGCCATTAAGATTGATCAGAGCAACCTGTAGAATCTGTTGTCCTGCATGCACAAAAAGAAAGCAAAATATTGCATACATATATGAGTCAGATTGTTCCTGTTCATCAGTCTAAAATCTACGATTGATCCTGTAAACTGCAAGTGCGGAGAGGAAATCAAAACCTGGCATTGTTGAACACTTGCACTAGCTGTAGGGTCTCAGAAAGTCGACACCACAGCAACTCAGACACAAGAGTTGGGGAATCTATCCTGCCCAAACCGGCCATACATATTGAGAGGTACTTCATTCGTGAGAGGGACATTGTGGAAAAATTATCAAGAGTGATACGCACGCAGGAGGACTTTGAATAGAGGGAAAAGACATTTATGTGATGTAGAGGGCAAAGTAGCAGTGAGGTTGATGTGCGGGTCACATCGTGAAGACCGCAAGAGTGACAGAAGATGGTTGATGTACAGTACAGAACAAATCGCGGAGACCGCCAGAGTGGACTGATATATATAGACACGCCCATGGAAGTTAACTAGGAACGCGTCGGGTGTGGGCAGCACGTCCCATTGTGCGCTAGAATCCCATACACATGACCAAGCAATCTTGTCGACGGTAGACTAATAAACGGAGAATATAAGTATGTACATGTATCGTGTTGTTACCCAAAAAATATACTTCGGCTATGATATTGGCAATATCACTATTACATGAGTCATATAACGCCTGTGCTATAGTTGCCACTACTACAGAAAATGTCTTCAGAGGCGGCTGGGATGCCCCTGTAGAGGCGGTTGGCCCAGCCGCCTATGCTCTTTCGTTTCTATGAATGAATGATTTGTAGAGGTGGTTGTCTAGCCACCTCTAAAAATTGATTTGTAGAGGCGCCTGCACTTCAAGCCATGTGTACAAATCGTTGTCCAGAAATCACAAGTTTAGGTCAAGAAATAACATTTTTTTCAATCTCGGGAGACCTGACAGCCACACACACGGTGCCCCGTCGCAAGTCACGCAACTATTTGTGCGAAAAACGTGCACAACCGCACGCCTCGTGCGTTTGTCACCTAACCACTCCATCTATAACACACTTATATCAATTTGGGATATTCGTCCTCCTCGTTTTATCTTCATACTAAACGAATTCAAATGAAAAAGTTGGCAACTATGAAGTTTTATAACTTTTCGAGACTACAACTTTAGTTTTAGGCTTTTCTCCATCCGAGGTCTTCCATGCATAAATGGTCTCAAACAAAAAAGTTGTCAACTTCAAAGTAGCGTCACTTTTCGAGATATACAACTTTTGTTTTGATCGTTTCTCGATCTAAGATTGTTTGAAAAGTTCAAATTTCAAATGTGAGAAATTCAAACGTAGATTTTTCATGCATAGATGAGTTTAAATGAAAACGCCATCAACTACAAAGTTTCATAGCTTTTCGAGATCTACAACTTTGATTTTGGTAGTTTCTCCATCAAGGACATTTCAAAATTTTGAATTTCAAATATAAGAAATCCAAACGTAATTTTGCATGCATAGATGATTTTAAAAAATATCAACTATAAAGTTGAATAACTTTTATTTTTTTTGTTTCTCCATCCGAGATAGTTTGAAAAAAAAATCAAATTTTATTGTGCAGCTCCTATTTTTAGAGGCGGCTGAAATCGATTTCTAGAGGCGGCGGCTGAAAATAGAGCCGCCTCTATAAATCGATTTATAGAGGCGGCTTGCACCACCACCACTTCATGATCGAGAATGACTGAAGCAAAAAGAACTCACCAACATTGACAAGCAGTCATTACTGTGACAACGACACATCCGAACCTTGCCATTTCATTATCTCTACAAATAGCTAGTACATTTTTCAGGAAACCCCTATGTAGTCTTATATTAGCAAAACACACCAACGGCTCAACTATATTTTGTTCATCAAGGTAGTTGAAGCACAAGTAAGTGAAAGTCCTTCAGCCACTGAACGTGCTGTGTGACTTGATTGTCCTTACCAAAGATCTGTGATCTTGTAACGACAGCAACATGATTGGACAGTCACGGAAGCAGGAATTTGTTTTCAATAATAACGGTTGTGGCAATCGTCTTTCTTTCTGAATCCAGTCCACCACTGAGTCCTTCAACTGGGTAGACGCATGTCTAATCCACGAGCATATGAACTCATTGTTCACACTTGCCCATCCCTGGACCTTCTTGCCTGGCCATCGGTTAGGTTGTTTTCTTTGTCGAACTTTTTGAGTGGTTCCTCTCCGTGAGGTCTTCTCAACCTGAATGTATGAGCCGCCATGCTTGGACTTCCATAGAATCTGATATGAGGTAGCTTCCACATCCCTGCGAAGGCAATCTACTGCCTTTGGTATCATAATGTCGGTCAACTGTTCAAATGAAATTTTTGCATACATGCCACGTTGCGCAGCCACCCCATTGATGATTTCTGTTGCTGAACTGTCGATTCCAGGTGACAAATCTTCAAATGAGGCATGGGGCCAGAAACGCGCTCCAAGTTTTAGATATGGGCAGTCCCCTATGGGGTTTGTTTCGCTTTCTCCATCGACGACTGCCCTCTGCCTGTTGTTCCTAACAGACAGTGTGACATGGCCCAGCAAATACACTTGGATAACTGGTTCCAAGTATATATCACATGGCAATGATTTTGATGATGAGCTTGTAGCATTGTAGCGCTGGGTGTAGTCATGATCTTGTTGCTGGCAACAAAGTGGGTTCGGTCGAAACCATTTAGAATAGATGGTGTGAAGATTGTTCAGGTGTTCATCACAGCATCCTAAACCAGAATAAGCATCAGACACCCAGCACAAGTCTTGTGTTGGTAGTTGGTACCTGTGTGAGCTTTGTCTTCACAGTCTTGGCTGTTGAGCTTAAGTAAGGTGTGAACAGGTGCAGGCATCTAACTGCAACCCCAACTACATCTGTACTCTCAGAGAGCCGTAAGCTGAGGGCAAGAAGGAAATTATTCTCTGAAGCATTTGTGTCTTCAAGTAATAATGTTAGGCAACCCTCCATCCCATGCTCTGTTGGGCTAAACGGCTGTAAAACAAATGAAAGATGTTGACCCCTGCTAACAAAGCAATGCTTTGTTCCTTTGCTGGTGAGAAGATGGCGTATACACAACTGGATTCAGGTTCTTTGCCGAGTGCCTGAGGCACTCGGCAAAGGCCATATTGCACTCGGCAAAGCCTTTGCCGAGTGCGGCACTCGGCAAAGAACACACGGCAAAAAATTGATCGACAAAACACTCTTTGCTGAGTGTTTTTTATCGGGCACTCGGCAAAGGCTTTGCCGAGTGCCTTGGGGACACTCGGCAAAGAAAAGCGACCGTCACGGCGTCGGTCCCGTTGACGGTCACTTTGTCGAGTGCCAATCCTGCAGGCACTTGGCAAATATTTTTTATTTTTTTTAAAAAAAATTCTTTGCCGAGTGTCAACCCTTAGGGCGCTCGGCAAAGAGTTTTTATATTTTTTTTACAAAATTTCTTTGCCGAGTGCCAACCTTCAGGCACTTGGCAAAGATTTTTATTTTTTTTTAAAAAAATATCTTTGCCGAAAGTGCCTCCGTGACGCACTCGCAAAGATATTTATTTATTTTTTAAATTTTTGCCGAAAGTGCCCTCTATACTACACACTCGCAAAGATTTTTAATTTTTTTAATTTTTTGCCGAAAGTGCCATCCGTCCAAAGACTCGCAAAGTTTGAATTTTTTTTAATTTTTTTGTCGAGTGTCATATCACAAGATTTGGCAAAGCTGGAAAAATGAGTTTCGACACCCATTTTTTTCAGCTTTGCCGAAAGTGTCGTGACCATTGCACTCGGCAAAGGGGTCCTTTGCCGAGTGCAACACTCGGCAAAGTGACCCAAAACTACAATTTTTTTTTTCATTCCATCATGACAAATAAATTCATACAAACATCCATCACATATATATCTCATCCATCTCATATATCTCATCCATCACATATATATCTCATCCATCCACACATCCATCCACACATATCACATCCATCACAATATATACCACATATATAATAATAAGTGCTCAAGTCCATCCAAATAAATTCACAAGTCCATCAAAGTCCACAAGTGCATCACAAGTATATCACAAAGTGAACAACAAATGAAAAAAATACAACGTGCACTCATCTCGGCCAAGGCGACTGTGGTGAAGGCCTAGCTCCATCATTCGGAGGTGCATGACGTGGATTATTCGAGCCACCGTCAGATGGAGACTGCACAAAGGAGAAAAGATTGCATGTGAGACAAGATTATTTGGATAGCTAATCTAGTAAGGTAGAGGCCATACAAGCAAAGCACAAGCGAAAGTAAAAAACTTTCATACTCACAGGAGTAGCTGTAGCTGCAGGACGCGGAGGCGGAGGTGGAACCAATAGCCCAGGTGGCAGAGAGAAGCCCACACGTTGTCCAAGTCCTTGTAGGAACTCCGTAATGTTCGTCAGCCTCTGCGCCTGGGCCTGCCGCTCGGCCCGCTCGGCCTCCAGCTGGGCCACCATCCTCTGGTGCCCGGCCTCTAGCTCCAGACGTTGCCTCATTTCTTGTTCCAGCCAGGCCTGCAATATTTCACTCCAATGTTTCAGTAATGCAAAGCTAATTAAGGTGTGTAAAGATCAATGTGTGACGAGTAAAACAGGAATAACCTCGAGTGCGTCGACCCGGTGCTGTGCAGCAGTCGGCCGTGTGCGAATGGCCGGGCTCTCGCTCGTGCTCCGTGCTCGGATCTGGGACAGAGAGGGAGTAAAGGCCGTGTCGATGACGCCGTCACCAAGCCAGAACCACCCATGCTTCTTGCCTTGCCCCGCCCTCATGATGGCCTCTCCATCGAAGTCCTGGGAGCTCGGATCATGGTCTAACCCATGGAGCGACCTTGCTACCTCAGTGTAATCAATGATGCAGGAGTGGACGCTCGGGTTCGTGTATGCCTCGGGCGGGTCCTCCAGGTTGAAGGAGACGTTAGACGTCGCCTTGCCCTTATGGG